GCTAGAACGACGAGCCCAAACTGGAGAACAGGAGCACCCCAAGGCCCTCTCCTGACACGGAGGCCGGGATCTCAAGGCTCCATGCTCTCCGGGCACAGCCCTCTCACTCCACCCAGGAACCAGGGTCGGAGGCTTTCGGCCACTGCTGGCCAGTTTCCCCAGGGCCAGTCTGAGCCTCTGCTTCATCGCCCACACTGGCCCTACTTCCCTGCCCTGCTCCGCTCTGCAACGGGGGCTCCTTCTTTCCCTGGGGAGCCCTCCCCGACACCAACCACAGCAGACCTCACGCGCCACTGCCTGTCTGCTTCCGATCCTAGCACTGACAGTTTCCATTGGCGTGTCATCGACTACCCTCACAGCAGTGTCATCCACAGGAAAGGAGGGCCGTCTGCCTCGCCCAGCACTGGGCTCCCCGACTCACAGTCCCTCCGGCATGCAGCAGGTACCCAATGAATGCCGAAGAACAACCAGTAGTCCGCTGCGCTGCACCCCGAAAAGTCTCTCAACTCATACACTGAAGAAAGGGGTCAGGGACAGCAGGGAGGTGCCACCCTCATTACCCGGGTCTCCGCAACGCAACCTGGGCTCCGGGGAGCATGCGGCACGCAACTGCCAGCATAACCCCCTGAGGACAGCACCTTCACAGGCCACGTGGTGGCTCTGGGACCACGGAGTGGGCCACGCGATGCCGAGCGAAGCCGTCAGCCGCAGCCTCTGGCAGCACTAGGAGGTGGAGGACTGATGGTTTCTCTCCACGGGCTAGAGCAAGCACCGTGACCCTCAGGGACAACGAGAGCCAAGGGAGCAGCACAGTGGCAGCTGCAACTTACTGGGTTTTTTTGGAGCGGTTTTTGTTATGGGGCATGTGCACTCACCGGAGAGAGAGGGACGACAGACAGAAAGTGAGAAATTACTCCCTGGGGGTGGCCACGCCGCAGTCCCTTCTCCTCTCAGGATCTTGAGCACACTTGCACGCATGCCCTGCTTAAGTTTCAAGCCGCCGGTCCAGGACTTAAATCACCATTGACCACGGAAGTCCAGCGCCTTAGCCACCACGCCGACTGCTGGCCTCATGTGACTTACCATTACAAATAGATGTCGGGGACACATGGAAGTGGGTCTGCACTGCTCATTCACTCTAACACTATACAGTGTGAACCAGGAGCGACGCGCATAGGACCGGGCTCGGCAGGGCCCAACTCCACCTGGAGGTTCTGTGCCAACACAAGTGGGCTGACGCAGCAGGTGCCGGCCCAAGCCCACCCTGCCCAGGGTGTTCTGTGAGGCAGAGCGTGGAGAGGCTGCGGGTCCCCTAGGTGTTCAGGAATTCGAGAGAACTACGTTCTTTTTTAAAAAGTTCAAAGTGTGTGTGTCTTACTCAATTCACTTCTACTGTGCCACGAGGCCAGGGCCACGTCAGCTCGGAGCCCTGACGCCCGGGCCAGTGTTGGGTCAGAGCACGGTCTGAATCAATGGATGTGGAGTGAACTTAAATGTAGTTTAAGAACATTTTCCTATAGGGTGCATGCCTTCTCCAGGGAGACGGAGAGAGGGATGGCCACGCCGCAGTCCCTTCTCCTCTCAGGATCTTGAGCACACTTGCACGCATGCCCTGCTTAAGTTTCAAGCCGCCGGTCCAGGACTTAAATCACCATTGACCACGGAAGTCCAGCGCCTTAGCCACCACGCCGACTGCTGGCCTCATGTGACTTACCATTACAAATAGATGTCGGGGACACATGGAAGTGGGTCTGCACTGCTCATTCACTCTAACACTATACAGTGTGAACCAGGAGCGACGCGCATAGGACCGGGCTCGGCAGGGCCCAACTCCACCTGGAGGTTCTGTGCCAACACAAGTGGGCTGACGCAGCAGGTGCCGGCCCAAGCCCACCCTGCCCAGGGTGTTCTGTGAGGCAGAGCGTGGAGAGGCTGCGGGTCCCCTAGGTGTTCAGGAATTCGAGAGAACTACGTTCTTTTTTAAAAAGTTCAAAGTGTGTGTGTCTTACTCAATTCACTTCTACTGTGCCACGAGGCCAGGGCCACGTCAGCTCGGAGCCCTGACGCCCGGGCCAGTGTTGGGTCAGAGCACGGTCTGAATCAATGGATGTGGAGTGAACTTAAATGTAGTTTAAGAACATTTTCCTATAGGGTGCATGCCTTCTCCAGGGAGACGGAGAGAGGGAAAGTGAGTCTGCACTCATGGGGCTGGCCACGCCGCCATCTCCTCTCCTCCACTCCTCCTGTGGGGATTTTGGGCACGCATACACCCACACCCAGTGTGTTCCTCAAGCCGCCAGATGTGGGGCTGGAAACTGCACCGCTGGCCCTGTGGGACCCCGTGGGAACCCGGCACAGCAACGGCCAGCCATGAACTTGCGCAGGCACTGTGGCTTGGGCTTTCTGGGATCCGCTGTGGGACACTCGCACGCAGGTGTCCCGCCTTCTGGCTGGGGAAAAGCCTGCAGCCCTGGTAGCTGGGGGTCCTGGGGCCATGAAGCGGTGATATGGGCCCTGAGGAGCCCGGGGAGCTGAGTGGGATCAAGTTGGGCAGAGGCTAGGGCAAGCGAGTTCACTCTCAGCAGGAGAGCGGGCACCGCCAAGCCCCACCGTGTCCCCAAGCCAGGCAGGTGTCCCACACAGCCCACAAGGTGCAGGTGCCACCCCTCCCACCGTGTAGATGAGGACAAGGATGAACAGCTGAGCAGACGCCCCGGCAGTGAGTCGGGGCCATTCAGAGATTTGGAACCCAAACTTCTGCAGGCTCTTTTGGAAGGTTGCATGAAATTTTAGCACTAAAATTAAGTTCTAAAACCCTGGGGTGAGGGTCACCTGGCTTACTCGAGAACCAGGTGACCTGTGGCTAGGGGACCGAGGACCCTGCACACAGGGACCCAGCCCTCAGGGGACACGGGCTTTCCACGCAGGACAGCAGGTGAGTGCTGCCGCCGGGAAGAAGGGAGGGGGCAGGACGGCCACAGCGCGTCAGAGGGTGTTTAAGCGGGAAAGTGACAGGGTCAATTCGTGTTCTACGAAGTGCCTGTGGCGGTGACCAGCTGGATGAACTGGCAAAAGCAAGGCCTGGGGGCAGAAGAGTTATCCAGGTGGAGCCCGGGTGTGGGCCCTGGGACAGGACGCAGGGGAGACCGAGAGGGGTCGTTGACGGGCCCAGAGACTCTGCAGGCACGGCTCCGGGAGCGTGGGGGCGCGGGGCGGCTCCCGAGAAGTGCCGTGACTGGGAAGGCACAAGCCCGCTCTTGGAGCTCCGCAAACACCGAGCCCTGACTCCCAAAGCCAGGCCTGGCAGCGGCCACGTGGGGACACAGGAATGACAGTGCAGTAAATAGGGTGCCACCTACAGACCCTAGAGAGCGCGGCAGCGGGCACCGGGAGAAGATGGCCGGGCAGCTCGGTGGGCGGGCACCCCAGAAAAGACGGCCGGGCAGCGCGGTGGGGGGGCACGCCAGAACAGACGGCCGG